GTGAAGCAATAGGGAAAGAGTCAGGCAGTTGTGGAGGCAAACCCAGCCTTGGGCCAATCACCCCATTCCCCTGAGCTTTGGTTTCATCATGTCTAAAATGGGGGAAAGGATGCCTACCTGTGGCTGGCTGTTGTGAGGATTAGGGACAGCAGATGTACTGCCTCTGGAGTCAGACTTGTCCCATTGCACACAGTAGATTCTTAGTAAAGAGTCATTGTTGCAATAAAGTAAGGCCCAAGGGAGTTCACCAGGTAAAGGGATTTGCAGACTGTCGTTGATCTGTCTCCTTCCTCTGCTGCCCTTTCCTTGGCAAGGGCAGGGTAAGCCCCGGGATTTGAATGGAGGCCTCTTTCTGGCCTGGTTCCTGGGATCATGGACATTTAAAGACTGTAGTGGCAAAAATAATCTGGGCGGGATGTTGTGGATGGACTCGGGTTTCATTTGAGGAGATGAGATGGGGGATGCCTTTACTGCACACAGCTTTTAAAATTCCCTCTCTCCTTTCCCCCATCTGCCTTTTTCTCCACCCTTTTCTACTCTTTTCCTCCTATATCTCTGGTGTCTTTGTCTGTCAGTCCCACCCTCAGTGTTCCTGTCCCTGGAGGCTCCCAGGTATGCTCCGCAGACTTGGAAACTCTCCAGCTCCTACTGCATGTTTGCTCCCCAGTGGCAGGCAAAACTGTGAAATTAGCAAGACCACGTGGTCTCTCCCAATCAGTACTAATCATTTCCCTTCTCAGAATGGGACCAGTATCCCTGTAGGAGCCAGAGAGATTAGCTACTGAATTAATTCATGATAAGTGTTGAGTGACTGATAACAGATAATCATACTTGTCCTCCCAAGGGAAGCTGCCTTTTAAAAGATAATAGGGAATGGCCATGATTTAACCTAAAAATATAGACCTTACTTGTTGGGAACCTGACATTGAATGATACTCCAGTGGTAGAAATTGAGGGCGGGGTGCAACCTGTTCTTTATAGGGAGTCCCTGTCCCACCTGTGAAAGACCCGTAGCCCAATCCATCAGTTCTCCGGCTTTTCTCATTTCTGGGCCTGTAT